ACAACTTTGACGAGCTGGATAACTCTCGCGAGGTGGTTCAACAGCTTGTGGATGAGTACAGCGCCGCCACGCGTCCCGACTACATCTCCTGGGGCACACAAGAGCAGTGAAAACCCCTCCGCCCACTCCCTAAAGAGCAGAGAAAGAAGCCTCTAAACTCATCCTATAAAATACGCAATGACTCCAGGAGCAAATAACAGAATTTCAGTAGTGAGTGCACTTCTTAAGACTCGTGTCAATAAATCTTTCATGGTTCGTCATACTGTTCCTCCAGAGCCTATTTCCGCATTACTGCTATGGTAAGAGACACTCATTTATGTAATGTGATGATTTCTCATGTTTAGAAGCCTATCAAAAGTTCTTCATAATTTGGTGCCTCTATCCTGAGCTGTAACTTTTCTCTTTCTCCCCAATTTCCTTTCTTTGATCAGAGAATTTATGGCTCCGTCTTAATCTATTTTTGTACTGCACTCGGCACTCTTCTGCACACAATCTACATCAATCTATGTCAAGGTGGCCTGCACATAAACTTCCCTGACCACACACATGTTGGACGTCTACACCGATAAGACTGGGTGGTCTCAGATGAATGTAACCGTAGGAGGGAGTGTGAAAGATTAAGCCTCTTAGAAAAGATCAGACTAGAAGCAGCTTATGAATACACCATCTAACTCCCTCACGTTCACGCATGCATGCTTTTAGACAAAAGGCGCTTGCTTTCAGGGGATAGACTATGATTGTGTGATTGAATCAATTTTCCTCTGTCTTATTGTCATGGATTACTCTAGGCGATTATCTCGGAGTTTTGAGAGATGATCAGTAAGTCAAGTGTTGTGCTGTACCTCAATCCCATCCAATCAGTGAAGCCTCATCGGGTTCTTTTTCTAGTCAATTCAATCAGTGGTGTTACCTCAAAGTCTGGCAGACTCAATCATACACCAGAATCCCAACAAATATCACATTTCTTTTTTTGAATAATTTATTCTTCTGCTCCGGTCTCTCTTTATTTTTTGTATTGTGATAGAACCTTCACATGAAACTCTCATGCCAGATTCATTTCTCAGTGCTTTCTTTTCCTCAGTTACCACATGTTCTTTTTATTAATATTATACTGTGTATATAGTTTCCTTTCAGACTTGATGCATTTACTTGAAGTTCATGAGATTGAATAAATGTTTTTGTACAAGAACATTTCCATTTGTATTGATTACTCTCACAGACCATCTGCAATCAGGTCAGAATCACTCACAACAGATGGCATGGGTCATTTGGCCTTAAAACACATGAAATAGCTCAGAAATGGAAGCTATTACCTCTGATAAACTGGGGCACGTTCAAGTTCAAAACGGTGCGCAACGTTTTGCTACGGTTTCCGTGTTGAAGGTCATGTGTCCTGGAAACGGCGTGCAACGGGGTTTGAGATGCGTTTTCTCTTGTTGGGCGTGTCAGAACTGCAGTCCAATCACCAGCAACATGTATATAAAGCACACGGTATTAAAGTGAATTCGCACAATGGAAGTAATTTACAAATGTGTTCGATACGCAACAACTGAGGATATTAGAAGACATGTTTGTCGTAAGTATTATTGTAAAAATATAGGATATCAACATAATGATGTAGTTGTTTATATTTTTAGCTTCATTGCAAGTGTGTGACATTTGGTAGGCTATAGAAATAAACAATGCATGTAAAGTGCCTTTACTAAAAATGAAAAAGAAAATACAGGGTATTAATAAAACAGTATGAACAACAAATAAAGTCAGTATGTGTGGCTAAATAGATGTGTTTTAGTCTTTATTAGGTAAGATGTGCTTCCATTTCAGTTTCCACGAATCCCTTCACTCGATTGGGATGTTCTCTTGTGTTCTGGGCGGCAAGTGCAGTAACTGTAACATCGGGCATATTTTGTAGTATTAAACATATTTATACCGACTTAATCAGGCTCCGAAAATTCTTCACAAAGAACACAAAAAGCCTTCTCAGCTGCCGTAGTTGCAACTCTTGCGTCATCACAACAGTGCGTTCAACGCATCACCGTTTCTGTTTAAAAAACGTTCTGCAACGTTTTGTCGGCGCTGAACGCAGCCCAGGTCTTCATCTCTTTACCAAACCAGCTGATGGATACTGATAAACTGAATCAAGGTCATACTGAATCCAGTCTTGCTCCTTAAAGGGATATTTCACCCAAAAATGAAAATAGTCATCGTTTACTCACCCTCAAGTTGTTCCAAACCTGTACGAATTTATTTCTTCTGCTGAACACAAAATAAGTTATTTTGAAGAATGCCATTAACCAGTTGCTGGGCCTCATGGACTTCCATAGTATGGAGAGAAAAAAATGATGGAAGTCAATGGAGCCCATTAACAGTTGGTTAACGGCATTCTTCAAAATAACTTCTTTTGTGTTCAGCAGAAGAAATAAATTCGACAATTTTCATTTTTGGGTGAAATATCCCTTTAAGTGTGGCTCCAACCTGCGCTGACACAACTAAAAGTTGCTAGTAATCCTGAAGAACTTGATTAGCCTGTTCAGGTGTGTTTAATTAGGACTGGAGCTAAACACTGCAGGATAGGTATATATTTATTTATTTCTATTCCCACCAATATTATAACAGACACTCAAGTGATGTAATGGTGCTGCTTTTTATTACATACAGTATTCATCATTTTGCATTATTGCACATTTAAGTTAGCTGTACAAACAATAGTGCAATTGACTATTACACTTGTAACATAATAAAGGTACCATGCAGCATACAAACCAAAGCATCAGAGTTTGTCAAGTTTTGTTACATGTATGACATTGGGTCAGAGCTGCCTGCAGCTAAAGAGTGACATGGAAAGAAGACAAGCATATGTGACAACCACTACTGCCGTCACAGGGGCACATGGGAGGAACATGGTTTGGGCAAAATAAACTTCTTTAAACAATATAAACAACATTGAACACGTGATTGCCCTCCACCTTTGAACTTCAAGTAGCTGGCAACCTTTTTTTTCAAATTTGTATTCAGGCAGACAAACCGCTGTAGGGCAAAGATAGTGCAGAACCAAAATACTCCATAATCAGGCTCAGTGTTTTTCTGTATTCATAGAGTATGAGTGAATTAAAGATTGTACAGACTGTTTGACAGGCACTAGTGGCTCCTCCAAAGGCAACCTGAAGCCTCATACTGAAAATGGGCTCATGCTCAGGACAACTGGGCAGGTTTTATTGCTACAGTGATAGTTTGGCAGTCATTCGAAGGGAAAAAAAGACCCCAACCCCAAGAAATTTGGTCCATGTGACTTTAAAAGGGTGAATGACTTCTTTTTTTTTGGTTATGACAAAATCTCAAAAATCATAAGATCTACAAAATAAACTGATTATTATCAAGTTATTTGTCATTCGTAGACCGCACATGACGGGGGAAAATAAACAACAAATAACCAAAAAAGTAAATAAACATTATGACATCATAATTTACCTATGACATCATCAGCTCTTTTGTAATTATTTCAATACAAGCACTAAAATACAAATATGGGTCTTTATGAAAGATATATAAAACAACAGTAAAAAGCATAATAAAAAACTCACTTTCACACAATGTATTCAACAGACAGCCATAAATAAAACTAGTATAAACTAACACACATTAAAGGAGACAATAAGCCGTCATGAATCCGACATAAGGCTTCATAACATAGCACAACAGACAGAGGCTACAGGTTAGGCTTAAAGGGATAGTTCACCCAAAAATGACAATTTTGTTAACATTTACTTTTGTGTCATTTCAAACCTGAATGACTTTCTTTCTTCTGTGAAACACAAATGAAGAAAACAGTGTTTTTTGTGTCCATACAATGAAGGTCAATGGGGTCCAAACAATGTCGTTTGGGACCCCGTTGACTTCCATTAAATGAAAAAAAAGAAAATAATATCTTCTTTTGTGTTCAGCAAGATAAAATAACGTCATACAGCTTTGCAACGACATGCGCATGAGTAAATACTGACAATATTGTCATTTTTGGATGAACTATCCCTTTTAATGGAAATGTAATTTCTTTAGAATATGGGATGATAGTGTTGCATATCAATAGTGTTGATTTTTTTTGCCTATCTTCAGTGTTCGAGAGTTCTGGGAAGCTTGGTTTGAACCAAAATAGTATTTTTTTGTTTTTATGTCAAAATGCAATTTACCCTCACACGTACGAGGATGTAATAGTTAGGATAATCTAAAGATCTGAGGCTGTTGTGGCTACAGGAGGAACAGTGCAGAGTTACCGTAAGCTAACAGCACAGTCAAGCAGCACCAGGTCGGGCTCAAAGCTTTTCACAAATACACTTGCATCATTCAGATGAGCTAAGGATCCTTTGGTTTCTACAGCTTAAAATATTCAAATATGTCTCTCACCCACACATGCACCACCGTCATTCGGTAATGGACAGTTATAAAGGTCGGTGTGAAAGTGACTTCCACCTGCTTTCATTTCAAGGTCGTGTACGGTTTGATGAATGAGTTTAACAGCGAGCCAGGCAGGAGTCTCGAAAGGAACGTTTAAAGCGCAGCAACTGCGTATGTGTGAGTGCAACGGCAGCATGTTTGTGTAGTCTTCCTGTAGTGCAATACAAAGACATTGCTGCAAAAAAAATCTTGTCTTGTTTTCCAAAAAAAAAAAAAAAAATATGAACATCCCTAAACCAAGTTATCATGGGAAGCAAGATAAGAAATGGAACTTAATTCAAGGTAAATTCTTTGAAAAGATGGTCTAAAAATAAGTCTTAATATTTAATGAGTTGAAGTAAAACTAAATTGATTTAATTTTTCAATTAAGTAAAAGTATATTCATGTTGTTTTAAGGATGTTTAAACATTTAAATACTAAAAAAGCAAGACCAAAATTCTCATTAAGAAAATTATTTTTTGCACTGTTGATCTCTAAAGTCACGCTATTTTCCTCTCTGTGATATTTGGCGTGCTCCCAGGTGGCAGGGGCCGTCGAGGGCCCCGTGTCCCTTCTGGATTTGGCTGGCGGTGTAGCAAGTGAGTTCCTGAACCGTCTCTCCTGTTTGTGGCTCCCTGGACACCTTCCACTCCTCTTCCATTTCCACAGCATCTGCTCCTTTCAGTCTCATCAGAGTTCGTCCTCATTGCAAAGCTCCTCACAGGGAAGCAATCAGCCAGGACTGCATATGCATGTGTACATCAGTCAGAGTCAGTCTCAGTGTGTGCGTGTGTGTGTGCGCGCGCGAGCGAGCGAGTCATTCTCTCTTCACACTGGGTGAGAGGGGAGCTCAAGTAGGGAGGGGTGGAGCTTAGGGTTTGTTTCTATGGAGATGCAGTCATCTTTGCCTAGCTGGCGACGGGTGGCACTGAAGTAAGCATTCATCAGCTGCATGATCTCAGTCAGCTGAGAGAGAGAGAGAGAGAGAGAGAGAGAGAGAGAGAGAGAGAGAGAGAGAGAGAGAGAGAGAGAGAGAGAGAGAGAGAGAGAGAGAGAGAGAGAGAGAGAGAGAGAGAGAGAGAGAGAGAGAGAGAGAGAGAAATGACTTTAGTAAATTTCCACTGTAAAATTTGTTACAGACATTTTTGTCAGTGCTATGCACTTTACACTAGTACAATGACTCTTGTTATGCTCGTCTAGAAGGCCTTGTACACTACACTTAACCCTGGGTTAACATGGTTTTCAGGGCAGTATGACTTTTTAGTAAAAAGTTTCTTATGCTGACAAAGCTGCATTTATTTGACTATTTATTAGTTTAAAAAAACGCACATATTATTGCACTTTAAGATAGCCGTTTTCTGTTTTAATATATTTTAAAATATAATGTATTCCTGTGATGATTTGCTGCTCAAGAAACACTTCTGATTATTGTCAGTGTTGAAATCAGTTGTGCTGCTTAATATTTTTGTGGAAACCACAATGCATCATTGATGAATAAAAGTATTAAATTCGGTTTTGAATGTAGTGTGAAACAATGCGGTAGAACGTTTTAGCTATTTTTTTAGCAAGAGGCAACCAATCATAAACTAAATGCTTTACTCGTTTAACATAATTACATGTAAATATTAAATAAAAATATATTTATTTAAATATAATTGCTACATTAAATAAAACTAAATATTAAATAAAACTAATATATAATCATTTCAAAAAAAGGTTTATAAGGGGCAATATTTTGGTAAATATAGTGAAAGGTGCTATTTAAATTAAATCAAACAGCAACTTACAGATGTCCTCACTTTTAATTGGTCATATTTAACTTTTATAATTTGTCACATTGATTTCTATAAGAGTTATTCGGGTTCAGAACAACTCTGGGCGACGGTTGATGACTGTCAATGACTAGATGTTATTAATAGTGTATGTGTGAGCTAGCAGAGACATTCATGCATCACTCAGGAGATTCTTCAGCTTAAAACGTATAGTACTGAGGGCACAGGATGGGTGTGAGCCTGCAGCTGATATCAGGAGAAGATAAACTGGTTGTCTCAGTGTTTCCACATGTGTGCGCACTGAAAGTCACAGCTGGTCTGACCTGTATTGTACTGAAAGTATACATGATAAAAACCCTTTTGACATCAACGTCAATGTATTTTAGGTCTAAAAGCATCACGATTCATGTTAACACTCTGCCTCGGCTAGGAGTATATGCCTTCCCTATAATATCTTGTATTTTGGCCTAACAGTATCATGCATGGTGATAACATGAAGGCCAAGTTGCATCTGCACATTATTGCTAGAGTAAACCTATGGCAGGAAGATCTGGCTTGTATGGCTCATAATTCCTGGCTCATAGTTATGTTGTGCCTTTTTAATTGCTTAACAGACTAATATCGTAACTCCAGCCACTTCAAAAAAAAATATTTTCAACAAGTTGCATGGTTTGAAGAATATTTCATGTCCATAGCACAATCATTGCGATACCAGTTAGAGCCTGCTTACCTTTGTGGTCTCAAAGAGCAGGTCTCGATCTCCTGCTGTGATCCTGAATGTGTTACTATCAGAGACGCCATAGGAGCAGATCTGACCTATCGGTAGAGACTCCAACGCCTCAGCTTCACCCTGACGATACAGAGACACGCAGGAAGCCGCCACACCCAGCCACAACTTCTGAGAGAAGCTTCCTGTCGAGCTCTACAAGAAACACAAGGATGTAAGGCACAGCTGTGATTCTCTGGAAAAATGAGTCAGAATGATTTCTGAAGGATCATGTGACATTTTATCATGCTGATTTGGTGCTCAAGAAACATTTCTGATTATTATCAGTGTTGAAAACAGATGTGCTGCTAAATATTTTTGTGGAATTTGACAATATTACTGTTTTTATTGTATTTTTAATCCAGAGCTGGTGAGCATAAGAGACATCTTTTACGAAACATAAAAGAATCCTAACTCTTTCCCCGCCATTGACGGAAATTTCCGTCAGTTATGAGACAACGCTTCCCCGGCATTGACGGAAATTTCCGGCTTTCTGTGTTTTCACTGTTGTACGATAGGGGGCGCTATAACACATCTTCTGAAAGAGTACTGAATCTCCTGATCAAAACAGGCGAAGAAGAAGCAGAAACAAGCAATATCATATGTAAGCATATGCATATGTAAAATAACGCGATCATTAACATTAAACAGCATAAATCAAAACTGCCTAATGTTATGAATGAAATGTCGACCCAGGATGAGCTACAGGACTGTGCAAGCTTTGGGGGTGTTGATGGACTCGATCTACTGAATCCAATCCAGTCTTTGACAAAAATGTTATTTTCTGCCTTTTGCTCAAAATGTTGCTTTTTTTATGTAACTTATACCCACATGTTGATAGAAAAATAATGTGTTAAACTACAATAAAACATGTTTTTTTTTTGTTTAAAGAAGAGGGTCTGTTCTTGCAAATGCAAATTTTGTGCAAAAGATCAAAAAGGCTGAGACGGTGGCTGACAACTTTTATTTCTTTTTTTGAAACGCTGGTGGGGAAAGAGTTAGTGATTCCAAACTTTTCACCAGTAACAATAATCCACTCACAATGTAGAAGTCCACTTCATAGAGCGTGCAGCCAAACCCTGACCACTGCCGGGCGATGGTGAGATAGGCGGCCATGCTGTCTCTTCGACTGTATCCCACTAGGGCTTTCCAGTGCTCTAAAATGGTCGACATCACCACGGCTCCCTCCTCTCTCAGCCTGGCTCGGAGTCTTTGGTCCTGTTCCTGACGCCGCTTGTGCCCCCATAATGTCCCAGCCAGCAGACCCCCGGGGAAGGAAGGGCAGCCAGGGGGATCGACGGAGGCAAGTAGGGCCCGGGCCTCCACCACTTCAGCCGGAAAAAGCTGCTCCAACGGCGGGTACGGAGAGAGGGCGCTGAAATCTCCCAGCAGACACTGCAGTCTCAGTGCCGCCAGAGAAAGAAGGTCATCCTCACAGGCTGGCAGCTGCCCACGCACTACCATCTCATGACACTGATACAGAAAGAGAGAGGGAGGGAGGAAGTCAAGCATGGGAAAGTTTACTGAGTTCACTAGTGTGTTGTGTTTGCATGTTTGCTTTTCATCCGACTGATAAAGACGATATGCACACATCTGTCCACACAAGTGTGAAACTAGTCCACATTAAACACAAACAGAAAGGAAGAACTGGAAAATCCCTCTTTCTCTCTATGCCCCCAAGCCACTCTCTGCTGTTTCATGCACATATAAAATGTCTTAAATGGACGTTTGCAGACAGATCCAAACTAGGTTGGCAGCAGTCGTGTTACACTAATCCTGTTTATATTATTCAGTAGGAATTAATGGCTTGTAATATAAATGGTCTGAGGAAGGCATCCATTATTAGGTCTTTATAAAACACATTCCACAGAAGGTCATTTCTCTTTTAGTCTTCTCCTTCGGCCTATAGTTTTACTTTATAATCTATTCAACTTTCTCATTTCTGCTCGTCCCTGTCTGTCTCGTGTTGTTTTACCTGCTCATAGAAGAAGAGGTACTCAATGCTGTCGGTACTGATGTTATCGGTGTCCAACAGACAATAGAGTTTGAAGCAGAGTCGGCACTGGCAGACAGAGTCTGGATCTTTAGCTGACAAACTGGAAGACAAGAGATTTGTTAATGAACATGCATATGGATCAGATATACATGTGAAGCATAAAGCAAATACACTTTCCCAATATAGATACAACTCTGTGCACTACAAAAAATGCACACCACACTATAGGGGTCCAACGTGCATCACAAAGAATGGCTTAATTTAACAATACTAAGAAAAATGACCAAACAATTGATGGAACCCACTGACCAACAGTTTGGTTACTGAAATTCTTCAAAATATGGAGTGAGTAAATGATGACAGATTTTTCATTTTTGGGTGAACTATCCCTCTAAACCCTTCTCAAGCACCCTAAAACTGTTTCAACTGTTTACACAAGTCTTAGGAAGGTAGGGCATGACGATAACAAATGAAATCCGCCAATGCTCCCTGAACACACGACTAAAATCACCCTAACAGAGCGAAGTCATCATTCTCAATCACATGACACCCGGATTCACTCAGCTTTCATCTGCTGCATGTGCAGTTTCGCATGCGCGGGTTTGTGTTTGAGTCTGCACACATGTATGAGTGTGAGAGAAAGACTAGGCGTGTGTCCATGAACCCACTTCTGGGAAGAGTTGGCACGGAGACGTGCAAAAACACACACAGACAAATACAAACACACTTCCCAGAATAAAGCGGTTTCTGGCTGGCTGGGCTTATCTCTCCTTCAGTTTGCTTTCCACATCAGTTAACGCGATGACATCAGTCTCACCTTGAGATCCCTGCTGGCTTACTAAATACTAATAAAGAGCTGCTTGTCCATTCTCACAGTGTGTGTGTGTATCAGGTGGGTTGGTTAAAGTGTGATAAAGTGTTGGGAAAGTGAATAAATCAAAGATAAAGAAAAAACAGACCTGCACTGTACTGTAGCGCAATCATAGATGGTAATATCATGGTACCTTGATGTATATTATGGTACTGAATGATTACCATATTCATATTTTACACAGTACTTAAAAAATACCATAGTATTACCATGGTACATGTTAAAAAAACATAGTAATGCCCTGGTAAAATATCCAACAAACTATGTTGTTGACGTCGTACTTTAGGTTTGGTACATTTAGCTATTTGTTGTATTCCACATAATACAACTGATTGAAGAAATTTAGACTGAGTTACTTTTCAAATCTGGTGATGACATCAGCAATTATGGTGCTGCCTCCGATAGCTTTCTCCCAGCATGTGTTCTGCTCAAAAAGAGCAAATGTGTTTCGGCTGTCCTGCAGTCCGAGGCGTTCCGCCATCTTCCTCACAACCTGGACAAAGAAAATGAGTGTTTTTATTTGATTATTTTCAATATTTTAATTTTTAATTTAAGTTCTGGTCATTTTTCTTAGTTTATGTATATATATATATATATATATATATATATATATATATATATATATAATATATATATATATATATATATATATATATATATATATATACACATTTTATTTAGTAACAACATTATTGACAAAAACAATTTAAGACCATAAAAAAACAATTAAAGAAAAATTCTCGAATATTTTCTTAAATGAATAAACGCAACAAAAAATGCATTTACTTCTATTAATGAATAAATCAAAAAAAAATTTGTGGAAGGATAACTGCTAAAAGAGAATTCAAAATTACAAAAAAAAATAAAAAACTAATAAAAAAAATAAACTACTAAATGAATGTCTCGTTCTTATGTTTGTATGCTAATGATTACTTCTTTGTGTGCCAATAGTGTCACATGAGCGGCACAAGGTTCCCAAGCCCTGCTGTAGAAGAAACGGTTGATGCAATACCTCATTAGCCGTAGTGTGCGAGGTGATCGGTATCTGGCAGCAGCCCGGTCCAGGGTAGTGCACAGTACACAGTATCTCCTGCCTTCCCATCAGCCCCTGGATCTCCTCCCAAGAGGGCACACACTCACGGCCACGCGTCTTCTCTAGAGCCTGGGCTATGAAGGACGCGTAGCTCTCCACCTCCGAGTCCGCACTCAAACTTTGAACCCTGATACATGGGGGAAGATAATAAAAGAAAGAGATTTTAAACTTTATTGGGACCATTTACAGAATTTCACATACAACCCACAAAATTTCCCTCCAAAAAAAATCTGGGGGAAGTTGTGTGGCCTCTCTGTTTAGTTTGTCTATTTGCGATATGAAGTGTCAACCACTTGGTAATCACATGCATGGCGTAGGCCCTAATTGTGTTAAGTAAACACATGCGGGAAGCGACCGGAGGCCTCAGGAGAACAGAGACTCCTCCGTCTCCATTACACCAGCCGCCTCTGTAATCAAAGCCCTGTGGTCAACGCACCATTTCCTCAAGGCACACTCGTTTATTTAGCCATTCTCTTATTTTCTGCCCTTCTCCCCTGTCTATCCTCTGGCCTGGCAGTACTTTAAGAGTCAATTAGCCATGGGATGCAGAAAGCATTGTGCCGTTTCCCAACCCCTCAAGGAGAGGAAAAGAATGAGAGAACAGGAAGTGAACTTTCAAATCCAGTCTCAGGCAGCCCATATTTCCTACACACTCAACCGCAGTTGTGCGTCTTTATACTCCTAAGGCCTTCTAGGTAATGTTTATATGTGTATGTTGAGATCCAGGTGCATTGAAAATAAATTTTGGTGTGGAAGCAATTTTCATTCAGAAATTGGCAGAAAAGTTCACAATTACAAAGAAACGGCAAGAAACACATTGAATTAAAAGTGAAATTTTAAAGTTAAAAAAAAACTGTAATTGGATTTACTTATGAAACTTGAATTATCATTTATGTATTCACAACTTCAAAAAGTAATTTTGACATTGTGGTGGGTGTGTGAGCATACACATCCAGAGGAGTGTATATATTCATGATGTTACTCTTCAGAATAGCCCTGCTGTCTGAGAGATCTGTATTATTCGTGTGTAACTGACCTCTTCAGGTGAAAGCGCAGGTATTTGAGAATGCTGCAGCTGGGCAGGAAGGTGCAGCTCATGCAGGTGAGCAGCTGCCAGTATCTGAGCTGCGGGTTTGGCTGCGTCTGCACACATGATTTGGTGACGCTGGTCTGTTTGATGAGCTGGCAGTAGAGTTCATCTCGGAGCGGCCGGAGGTCGAGGCAGGTCTGGAGGATTCCCTGGATGAGAGGAATGGGCTCGTGGGCCGACTCTAACTGCTGGAGGCAGTTAAACAGCCTCACCGCCTCCTCGCGGACGGATGTGTAGCCTTTACCAGCCATGTCTAAGAAGAAGAGAGACAGAAGGTGTGTTAACTGGCACAATGGGAAGAAATCGAATAGGACAACATAAACCAGCTTTTTAAGGACTCCCTACGGTTTTCCGTCGAAATAAATGTTTGGTGTTTCAACTTTCAAAAATTTCTATAGATTTAAAATCAGATGTGATTCAATTTATTTTAAAAAAAAGTTCTAAGTTCAACTTTTATGGAAGGCAGAACTACCTCAAAACTGCAATAACTGGAATGTCAAACCTTAGTCTCTGTAAACAGTGCAGGTCACAGGCAGATTCTTTTTTTAACCAATCAGAACGCCTTTGAGGTGATTTATGCCAGCCAATCATTTTGCACATTCAGAGCAGCAGTCTATATATGTTAGGCCAGATGCTGAAAGCATGATAGATAAACTTCATGAGTTTGGAGGATACAAAATGTGTCAAGAACAGCTTACACAGCCAAACGTCCTCAAAGTTGGCACGAAACTGACATTGTGATTGTCTTTCTCTATTGTGACATACACTGATGAGCCAAAACATTATGACCAGTCACAGGTGAAGCAAATATCGTTGATCATCTCCTAACAGGACCACATATTAAGGTCTGGGTAGATTAGATAATAAGCCAACAATAAGTTTTCACAGTCAATGTGTTGGATGCAGGAGAAATGGGCAATAATAAAGATCTGAGCAACTTTGAAAAGGGCCAAATTGTTATGGCAAGGTGACTGGGTCAGAGTATTTCTGAAACAACAAGGCTTGTGGGTTTCTCCAAGTCAGCGGTGGTGAGAATTTACCAATAGTGTTCTGAAGAGGGACAAACCACAAACTGGACTTTGGAGCAGTGGAAGAAGGTCGCCTGCTTCGATGAGTCCTGCTTTCTTTGACATCACGTGGACAGCCGTGTACATATGTTTACCTGGGGAAGTGATGCACCAGGATGCACTGTGGGACGACGACTAGCCGGTGGAGGGAGTGTGATGCTCTAGGAAATGTCCTGCTGGGAAACCCTGGGTCCGGCCATTCATGTGGACGTCAATTTGTCACATACCTACCTAAACATTGTTGTTGACCAGGTACACCCCTTCATGACAATGTTGTTCCCTGGTGAAAGTGGCCTCATTCAGCAGGAAAATGCACCTGCCATATGGCACTCATTGTTCAGGAATGGTTTGAGAAACATGATAAAGAGCTCAAGGTGTTGCCCTGGCCTCCAAATTCCCGAGATCTCAATCCAGTTGAGCATTTGTGCGATGTGCCAGACCAACAAGTTTGATCCATAGAGGCTCCACCTGGCAACCTACAGGACTTGAAGGATCTAACTGCTGCTAATGGCTTGGTGCCAGACACAACAGGACATCTTCAGGGAAGGGTCGGCACTGTTTTGGCAGCACGAAGAGGACCAACAACATATTAGCCAGGTGGTCATTAATGTTTTGGCTCATCGGTGAATAGCTGAGTGAAATGGCTTCTCTAAGAAGAAAAAACGCAGGGCTGGACTTGAGTTCTTCCATTAGGAAACTATTGGATCAGTAGATCTTTGTTGTTTGCTAATCGCTGCAATCTTATGTGATTGACAGGTTGATGGAGATGCCCTTGCTAGGGGAAGGGGACGTTTATGTTTTTCCATAAAAAAACAAGAATTGTCCATTTTTAATTTAAGATGAATTGAAAGAAATAGGAAGACTGAGTTCAATAAAGAGAGCCAAAGTTTGACTCACGTGTGTGGTGGAGACTGCCGTAGGGGAAAGGCAGCAGTGGGGCGTAGAGGGGGCTCTGCGTGTACCTCAGGATGGGATTATGCTGATAGATGTGCTCCACAACCTCTGGATTGAATTTATTCTCCTGTACAAAAACATTGCACATAAACACACATACAAGGACAATGCAAGGACAATTAAATTCCATTTAATTCAAAATTAATAATAATACAGTAATACAAGGTTTCAAAATTTACCTTGAAATAAATAAACTCAAAACAGATATATCTTCTGTGTACCATTATGTCCCCATAAACAGATGACCTCTTTGTTATGGGGTCGATCATGAAATGATGTTTCAAATGTAAATGCTGTGTTTGGGATAACGGATGAGAGAAATGAAGGAAAGGGAAAGGAATTGCAGCTTACAGACCCTGGTCAAGGTCTGCTCTGTGTGTGTGTGTATAATGAAAGCTGCTGTGTACATTTCAAGGGTGAATAAGGCCTGTTTATGTTGGTTGTGGGATGTTTGCTTATAAATGACCTGATAAACCAACCCAAGATCAGTTAAACATGACAAGATATCCTACCATTACCACTATGTACTTTGTGTTTGAGTTTGTGAGAGGTCAAATAAATAGTATACGTAAATAGTACCATAAAATAATAGTATAAATAGTATAGTAAACTTAAGTTTATAGTATCCATGTCAGGAACTATATCTTCATCAAAACAAAATTTTCTAATACATGGTAACCATAAAAAAACAATAAAGGCAAGAATATAGTGTCTTTTAGTCATAACTATAGTGAGAATATAGCATAGCCTCCCATGTCTTATTGCTTCAATATTTAATATCCATACATAACTTATCTTTAAGAGTAATATAGCAATCAGCAAGATCATTTTTGGGGTCTGGCCACTTAACATTTCAACCATTGCGGTTTTCACGCCTGTCTGTCTGCCTGTCTGTCTGTGCGACCTCAATGGGATTCCACGGAGTTCTGTGGGCTAGCAACTAACATCCTATTAATACAGATCTCTCCGAGAGTGCCGGCATTACATCATAACAACAGGGTTATTCTAAAGAGCTACTCACTGCCTTCAAAACTATTTCCAGGGACACGAGATACCGAGCAGCATATCTATAAGTGTAAAATCACTAGCCAACAAACTAATAATAATATACTGGGGCAGAGAGATGACAGTGGGTGGGGTTTAGACGGTTTACACACCGTGTCTGTGTATGTGTGCCATCCTGACCATGGACTGTTTAGGAGCTAAGCTGAATGAACTAATAAAATGTAATATTTTTACACTGAATGTATATATACATTGTATATATATATATATATACACACACTAAGCTGACATTTATAATCCCTCCATTTATAATCGCTTCATGTAGGTGTGTTCTCTTACCTCGATGTCTCGTATGAGGAGCTGTGTTGGCGTCTCCACCGGCGCTTTGCTGTCGATGACTTTCTGCACGGCACACGCCCAGTGCACCGCCTCATTGTAGTGCTTTGTGAATAGTCTGTAGCAATGTTTGCGGCCATACACTGTCAGACTCCAGTAACCTGTCACACACATTTCAAATATTTTAGTGCTGCTCTTCAAAAAGAAAATTTACAGAAGCTGTGCAATACAAAAATAGCATCTCCTAACAAATAACGAGAGTATGTACATAAAGAAAAGTCAAACTTTTATGTGCTTATACTATTTCTGATTAAAGACAAATGTACTAGCGCTCTAGTATTCTGACAACCTCATATTTCACGTGCCTGGCCTGCAGTAAATGTGTTCAGATGTTCCTAAAGCCAGATCTGGATCTTTTAAGAGGATCTTACTAATACATAATTTCTCCCTTGTTGTTAAATTTGGCAGTCAAAAGAATGAAGTTTTGGTTCAAATTAACTGAGACTTATAGAAGACACACCAATTCTTTACAATCTCCATAAAGCCCACCAATCTCTCTGGACTAAGAAAGATTTTGCTCTACACAATATCTAGCCAATGAAATATTTCAGAGCAGAACAATGTATATTCACAGTAGAAATTTTCCTGTAATTAATTTTGGTTAAATTCCTTGATATTTCAAGGTTTTTCAGGACCACTGTGTTTATAAGATTTGCAGGCCAAAATATTCAGTGTCCACTGTAAATAACTCCTATTTCTTGGCCACGAACTTGTACCTCATTAACGTTTTCCTTAAAAGAGCTGTTTTACTCTGTGGACGAGCCATTAGACATGATATTATATGACGAATTGTTTGTTAAAATAAGAAACCGTTTCCATCGTGTCCGCTGTGCTGGATAATGAATGACTCCTGACCAACTGCTGCTCTTGTACACACACACTTTCAAACATATACACACACACTTTTATCTAGGAAAGTCCCTAAAGTTAATCTGGGAAAAGTTTAGAGTTCTGTGGACTGTGCTGGTTGAAAGTATGGTGTGTGTGTGTGTGTGTGTGTGTGTGTGTGTGTGTGTGTGTGTGTGTGTGTGTGTGTGTGTGTGTGTGTGTGTGTGTGTGTGTGTGTGTGTGTGTGTGTGTGTGTGTGTGTGTGTGTGTGTGTGTGTGTGTGTGTGTTTCAGAAATCCAGCTGAACATTTGCCATGTGAATATGCACACACACACACACACACACACACACACACACACACACTGTACAGTATGACTAAGTCTTTGATTCTGTCTGGTCATTGCCTACCAACTCCCCAGACAACAATGCATGCCATTTGTCTGCCTTCATTTCGCTTTTGCTCTCAAACAATCCTGCATTTCATTTCTGTGATCAAAGTCTTCCCACAAGAAAGATTTCACGCCAATGTCGAAAAGAGATCAGCAGTCTCATGGCTGCTCTGTGCCTGTGATCTGACCAAAAGATCTGCTCTCTTTGAAAAAATGCATGTCATCGTGAGGGCAAATCCTAAAATAGTGAGTGAAATACTATGTTTATCTTCCACTGGACTTTAAAGGGCAAGTTCACACCATTTACTAACAAAAAAGTGACAAGAGATTTTGCAAATATATTTCTGCAATGTCAAACATGGATGACGAGAGATGGAAAAATGTTGAATATTGTACAGTAAACCACAAGGACAACCTTTAAGGTATTAAACGGATAGATTACCCAAAAATTACAATTTTGTAACATTTTAGGCTTTGTTTACATATGAACATATGCTTTAGTTCACATCACATATGATAACCATGGAAACTCGTTTGTGCGTCACATGCTTGAACAAACCACATTGGTTCTCACACAACCAATGAGCTTCCATGTTTACCCATATGTAATGCGCTCTTTGTATGCCTGTCAATGATTGTTTAGATGTAAATAAAACGTAAATGTCATCATATAAAGCGATCATATCTCTTCACAAGACTGAAAGCGAATGAAAGTTTTTTTTTATTACTTTATAACTTCTGAATGAAACTGCTCAATTCATATAGATTAGTTTTACTACGCCTTTATGACCTTTTGGATCTTCTATGATTCTGTTACACTGACTTTGAATGGAGGGACAGAAACCTTTCAGGTTTCACTTAAAATATTTTCATTTTGTGTTTTGAAGATGAACAAAGGTCTTTTGGGTTTGGAATAACATGATAAATATTGTTCCAAATGATGACAGAATTTCAGAAGATGTGAATACAGGGAATGCATTTTTAGTTTTACACTCTTTCAGTGCAAAGAGAAAGAACTGCTCTGATTGGTTGTTTTTAACCTTCTTTTAAAGACATACTCAAAGGTAAAAAATTATGCATAAATAAAGTAAAAAAAATCAGTTTATAAATGAGAAAATGCAAAATAGTTCACCAAAAAATATTTTTCCATATACTCAGAAAGAAAATATGGAAAAAGTACCATTTATAACTTATCACTAGGGCAGAACACTTAAAAAGACTACTTTGTACCTTATCTACCCCTTAAATCTTATCTACCCATCCAATAACTCACCATCAAGCCATCCAATGTGTATATGACTTTCTTCTTCCAGCCAAACACAATCGAAGTTATATTAAAAAATATCCTGGTTCTTCCCAGCTTTATAATGGGAGTGAATGGTACATCGGATCTTGAAGACCAAAAAAGCACATCCATCCATCATAAAAGTAATCCAGATCCGGCTCCAGTATGTTAATAAAGGCCTTCTGGAGCGAAGAAGGCGTGTTTTTCTAAGAAAAATCTCCATATTTATAACTTTATAAACTATAATCACTGACTTCTGGTAATGGCCGTATGCGAGTCTAGTTCCGGCTGAAGAGTAATCCTTGACGCGATGTATGACGTAGGATGTAGCAGTAGCGTAAGCTTAGGTGAGAGTAGATGCCTCTCACGGTTTAAACAAATTGGGCTGTGCAACAAACTCAAGCTCCTCTTCTCTTATATTGAAATCCTCTGACATTTCACTTAAAAAATTGTCGTTTTAGACTTCTAATTCGTCATCTGTGTTTTGTTCTGCTCTATCCTCTGCGCTTCCACGTTTGTCAATACGCCATGAATCGGGTCAGAGGTCATTCTTCTGCTGGAACTCGATTCGTGTATAAATATGGATATTTTTCTTACAAAAACGCATCGCTTCGCTTCAGAAGGCCTTTATTAAGCCCCTGGAGCCGGACATGGATTACTTTTATGATGGATGGATGTGCTTTTTTGGGCTTCAAAATCTAAGGTAATATTCACTCTCATTATAAAGCTTGGAAGAGACAGGATATTTTTTAATATAACTCCAATTCAGTTTGGCTGAAAGAAGAAAGTCAAATACACCTAGGATGGCCTGAGGGTGAATAAATTAATGGATAATTTTCATTTTTGGGTGAACCCTTTAAAAGTGCCTTTTAGTACCTTAGAAAAGTAATTTGTACCCTTAAGGTACGACTATGAATCATTTAGGGAAAGGCACACAGTTGTCCCTTCAAGGGCACTGCTCCAGTGACAAAAGTATTGTCCAACTCATTTTTAGAGAGCGTATACAATGAAAGGGAATGGTGACTGTGACTGTCCCAGTTTATTTGCAGGTGCGTTACCTGTCTGTTTGTAGGTGTATTTATCGGGCCACAGCACTGAGCAGAGGGACGTGAGTACAAGCGTGCCGAGTCTGCGAGCGTCTCTGTCCGAGCCGCTGTAGTAATCAAGAGAGTCGGTTGTTAACACAAACCAGAACCTCCTCTGCCGGAGCCAGCCTCCCTGCACCTCTCGCAGGAGCCAGCCTGAAAAAGAAAGAGAAAAATACCCATATTATACATGATAAATATTGGAACAGATCAATCTGAGAACATGAAGGCTCAATTTCAAAACCTGACAGAAATAAATTGTTTGAGATCCAAAGCATCACAGCGCTCATGCAGAGTCAGTCTGAGTGCTCATGGAAAAAGGCGTGACAGCACAAACCAGCCCGTCCACATCCAGTCGAGAGCAGCGTACCAAACCATCGCTCACCCATCTTAATAGAGGGTTGTGTTAAGGTCACACAGGGGATAAGATCTCCCTCCAGACCTTCAAACCAAGTTTGTCGGCTATGCACAAATGTGTATCAGAGCCAATAATCAAGACACATTTCATGGGAAAACTGCTTCTTTTTTTTTTTGGAGAAACCCTCATGACACCCGGACCATGTTACCTTTTTCCGCTGCTGCTTGCAGATGTACTGCACCTGCTACCTTTCCCGTTGAATGTGTGTGTGTGTGTGTGTGTGTGTGTGTGTGTGTGTGTGTGTGTGTGTGTGTGTGTGTGTGTGTGTGTGTGTGTGTGTGATCCAGCCAGACAGACTGGGGGAAGACTGTCTTATTTAGCAGCTCCACGGGCCACCATGAGACAGGCTGGCGGAGTATTTGGACCCCTCTACACTAATATTACTCTGCCCTGCTTATTATTACTCATTACATGTAATTGAGTATTATGTGCACAGTGCTCACATTTACACACCCTGAGATCACAGACAACTCTGAATAACACACTCACACACTTAAACCGGTGGACAGCAACTTAGGTGTTGGTTAACAATGTCTAAATGTCTCAATTGGTGTGCAGTGTGTCTGCCAATCTGTGTGTCACTGATAATACTGCAAGCTATAACTGATGCATGTGTGTGTGTGGACTTACCTATAGGTTGGGGACAAAACTGTACACAAAAGTGAGCTAAAGATGACAAAAACATCATTTGAGTGCTCTTTATAAAAAAAAACTATTTATAAATAAGCATAACATTTTTAGTGTAAATATTTCTTAATTGTTTTGATGGTAGGGTTTGTGTCAGATTGATCAATATTTTTGTCCCCAACAAATAACAATAATGATTATTAGTGTTCAATAACCAATTATATTTCAAAATTGATGATCATAATAAGAAATGTTCCTTGAGCAGCAAATCATCATATCAGAATGATTTCTGAAGGATCATGTGACACTGAAGACTGGAGTAATGTAATAATAGTAATAATAGCCAATAATAATTAAATTGTAATAATAGTTCTTTAAAATAATAATATTTAATATAACAATATTTTATAGATTTCCTGTTTTACTGTATTTTTGGTTAAATAAATGCAGCCAAGTTAAGGAGCATAAAAGACTTCTTTCAAAAACATTAAAAAATCTTACCGACCCAGACTTTTGAATGGTAATATCTGTAAACCTGATAATTACCAATAATGATTATGTTTAAAATAATACAAATTTTGTTCAGTATATTAGATTTAGCCCATAAATACCTTTATATAAAAACAATAGAAATCTATGGTATGTCCCCAATTAGATTAATATGTGTGTGTGTGGGTGGACATTTGTTTAGCCTGCTGCACTCTGGTTTATAGGGAGATAGTTGTGAGACAGATTTGAGATTAACTCACTGCAGATAAAGTTACCAGAATGTCATAAAGTTAAAACCAATTCTTCCTTAGAAACTGCAATCTTCAGGCTATCTTCAAATCTTTGATATTCACACTATCTTCGAAATTGCAATCTTCACGCTTCAGATCAATCTGATTCCATAATTGTTGTTAATAATGGACATTGTTAATACCCCCAAATGCACCAATGCATGCAAAAAATAAATTTGGTCTTATAGCCATAATGACAACTATGGTGCAAGAGAATTATTAATTAGCAGAATTTCTGTCTCACCCTTTACGAGCACCTCTGGGTCTTCGTCCATCGTCATCTTACCCTTCTGCATGATGAGACTTCTCTTCTCCTCAGGAACTCCTGACAGACTGAACAACATGGAACACAACATAGACGTCAGCAATGTGTACTGTACGACCCCTTCCCCTGGCCCCCAAAACACACACACACACACATATACATATATATATATATACACAGTATATGCACACCATCCCTTGAGGGAAGTTGGGGTCAACACCATAATTCTGCTGCTAAAACAGAGCCCAACATAGCATGAAACCACTTCGCATATGCAGACATTTCACATCTCACACACAAACACAACACTCACACACACACACACATCCCTCCACCCTCCACCACCATGGCCAGGCAAGCAGAGCTTTATCGGTCTGGCAGCCAGGGAAAAGACTGAAAATAAACGTGACTAAGAGACGCCAAGGACACTCGCACGCTAAGAGAGAACTAGGAAGAGACGAGGAGAACAAGAGAGGTCTAGGGGCAAGAAAATAGTTGTCATTAAAATTCACAGGGCTTAGGACAAAAAATATTACTGGTAGTGGTTCCAATAAATATGCTATACTATAAAGGACCTTAGTGGGACATTCCTCATCATTAGGCCATGGACAGTGTTTTCAGATTTATTTTTTTGGATGTAGTACCATGTTTAATGAATAATCTTTCAGTATCATGGTATGTTTTAAAGTACCATGGTACTGCCATGTCAAATGTTTTGTGGTGTATTGGTTAAAGGATAGAAATCACTATGGATAAAAATCAAGGCCACAAGCGTCTACTGTACATTTGGACTAAAAGACTCTTGTTAAGTGCAGAACAACAACTTGTAATGAGCAGGTAAAAGATTAGTCAGAGGACGTCAGTAGCTATCAACTGATAGAGGATTTGAGGAATGCTGGGAGCACAAGCACCTTGAAGCAGACAGTGACGGATAGATAATCACTCTGATAACACTGGAACTCAGACAGACTAAAAAACACACACACACACACACTGGGCTGTATTGGAGGAATTTAATGTGGCAGTGAGTCGGTTAATCAAACGAGACATTCCTGAACCTCCTGTTATCTGAAGAGAGAGCTTCAATTGACACTAATTATTTGGACTTGCTAGTTTCTCACCCAAATTAGCCATTTGTTAAGTCAATGAAATTGAGAGTCCTGAAAACTCATTTCCTCTTGCTTATGCCCTGGAAAAACATGGTTTGTAACCAGAGATCATATGATCACTGATCGGATGGACGGATACTAGCCCGGTGCACATTTAGGATCTGATGGGAGAGCAAACGATCTGATCGATCTCACACACAATCATACTTTATGTACACACCACCAAGTTAAAATCTCTCATTCTGTCTTCTTTAATAACATACTGATATCAACATATTGATTATATCAATAAGCCGATACCAACAAGCTGATGAAATTGTTTGATATGACAGATAATATCATGATATGACAGATAACAGACGATAGCTGTGCATCGCATCGGAGTATTTTTGTGTTCTTTGAATATCTTGAACCATGTCGATGTTCTGTACATTTATTTACAGGTCTGTTTATGTGTGTAATGGAGATGCAGTGGTAGATCCCTGCGGATTTGCATCATTCTCTAATTTAAGTTAAAGCTCAGACAGAGTCAAGAGTTTACAGACATCCATCCGAAAGAGAAAGAGAATGAGAGAGAGAGAGAGAAGAGAGAGAGAATGAGAGAGAGAGAGAAAAAGAGTGAAGAGAGAGAGAGAGAGAGAGAGAGAGAGAGAGAGAGAGAGAGAGAGAGAGAGAGAGAGAGAGAGAGAGAGAGAGAGAGAGAGAGAGAGAGAGAGAGAGAGAAGAGATAGAGAGAAGAGAGAGAGAGGAGAGAGAAGAGAGAGAGAGGCAGCACAAAAAGAGGAAGCCTCCATTCGCAGGAGCTGTGAGGGCTGGAATTAGCCGGTCAGAACCTGCCAGAACCGGTTTATGGATCAGAGCAGAATCAAGATCAACAATTCGGTTTTAACAAAAAACATTCTCTGTCCCTCAGGCATGAGAATAACGCTCATCCTAATCTAGACAGCATTAATACACACATACACACACATATAAAATGAGCCGAGCTCTGGAATGAGACCAGCACGCAGATACAGATTATAAACATGCTCTGCTATATAGAGACTTTAGAGGGCAGTAAGATATCTTATGGATATGAGGTGTAAAAGTGGAAATGAGCTTTATGACTCATGTCTCGGGGGCTAGATCTGTTTTACTATCTGTCTAGACTATCAGTAAATCTAAAAAAGTTTTTATGAATATCGGGTTCAGAGAAGTCTGTGATGGTGACCTAAAAGGATAGATATTTTGGTGCTAAACTGAAAAACCGGAGCAGGCGATGACATATCCAGATCGGAGTCGGCGCACGCCGCATTTCACTGAAAAGTTATAGAGAGATATGAAACAGTGACTACGTTTACATGCAGCCAATAACCCGTTCAAAACCGGGATATTAGCAATAACCCGGTCACGCACGGCTATGTAAACACCGGCAAAAACCCGAATATGCTCATATCCCGGATATTATACCTGGGGTACCCCTTTTCTAACCCGAATTTTTGGTCATGTAAACGTGTATCGGCATATCCCCATCATAAGGAACATAGATTTGTGTTCTGCGCATGTTCTATTCGCAAGGAATCTTGGTCTTTTGAGTAGAGGAACTTAAGTTCTCGACGCATACAAAACCCCGCGTGCAGTATACCGGAAGTAAACATGGCGAGACGCAGCACAGCGGTGGTAACGGGTATCGTGGATAAGTGTGGCACAGCTCCAGCTACATTTCCCATTTCTTGCTCACTTTCTTTCCTTCTATTAATGAAGACCATGAGGCACAGTAGTGTCAAGTGCTGCTGGTGGGTCAGTACCAGCACCAAAGCGAAAACAAAGGCGATCGCTATCTGCCCCGAACTATTCATTATCCGCGTGCTACTGTTGTTGTTGTCTTTGGATAGAGGAAGAAGAATCGGAAATGACGCATATTGCGTTGTCCGTACGTCCAGACGCTAACCGTGCGTCGCCGTTTACATCGGGATATTGCAATTCCATGTAAACAGGAGTAACTCTCTCTGCTCACGCATGTAAAAGGGTTATTCCTAATGTTTCAGAAACCCGAATAGTGACCTTAACCCGAATATTGGCTGCATGTAAACGTAGTCACTGACTCATTGGATTATCTCTTAGCTCTGTACAGGACATGACAGTACAGGAGACCGTAATACCCAACATACAGCGTGCACTACAAAATAGGAACTCATAATCTAAGGCCTGTTTCCAACAGCATCCGCACACGGCACAGTAGCGTAACTGCAACAGCAGACTCACAACATGCACAGACAGAGCCATGGCTCTATAAACTGTAGAAAATAAAGTGATTTCATTTATACTGAGTACTTTCTTCAATAATGATGAACTTGTGATGGATTGATGGATGGACGGACAGACAAAAGATAGATAGACGCATCAAGACACCTCTATAGTGAAGAATGGCTCTTGATAACAGAATGGTTTCTAAGTGGCTGAAGAACCTTTTTTGTTTAAACTGCAGGCATGATCATTTGAACCATGTTAGCCTATCTGCCCTTTTCTCTGGGAAAATATAGTTAGCGAGTAAAGAAAGCAAGAAAGGCAGGAAGGAAGGGTTACAGTTGGGCTTTGGCTGTCTAAACAACAGTGATGCCCTTTTGAGTGAATGAGCCACTCTAGATCAATTGAGCACCTTGGATCCTCGGAGCCAGATGACACACAACACAATTACATGTCGTTGATTGCCTAACAATACCAGCTCCCGATCGACACGAGGCGGGTCACGTCTCGTTCAAACCTCTCAAAGTATAGCTATAGCAGTAGTGCGCGCGCACACACACACACACGTGTCTGTGCAGTTACTGTGTGTCTGAACTTGAAATGCCACACCTACACGCGAAGGCACTGATAAACCACAGGGTTTGGCATGGTGTGACTGTGCGCCACTCTTATCCTATATAATGGATCAAACAGTGACATCAGCATGGCACTAGGCCAAACCTATGCGCTCTGACTCGGCCATCCTTTCAGCTGAATGAGGAAGAAGAAAGTACTATTTCCTCTATAGGAAAGTAGAAATGAATGAGACGCTGCCATTCTGACTGAAGAGATGTTTTTAAATGACGACGACGTGATCATTTTTAAACGATTAATATGTATCTTGATGTATCTGTATGTTCACATGTTGTGTGGATATGTTTGCCCGAATTAATATTTTATTGTTTAGACACTGATCTTTGATTGCTCAAGAGACTTATGGAGTTTCATATTAACTTTACCCCAGATGTTTCTCCTTAAATTCGTTTGGAGAAATAAAAATGTAATTTTATAGAACTATAAAATTAACATGAATAGCATAGCTCAGTTAATTCAGTATGGGAAGAATTTAAATTTATACTGAAATTATGAAGATGTGATGTGAATAAAATACATAATGCGCAGGGGAAAAAAGGATATGCTAGCTCAGTTGAGGTGGATACATTTTTTGATTTGGTAAGACGTGTGCATAAACTACGTATGATGGAAATACTTATATGACTGTCTCAAAGTCATGTGACTGAATTCACATCTTCAATTTTCCTATCAAAATTATTGGCCCCTACGGCTCCCTAACATAAAGTATTTACCAATGATCACAGATAAAACTTGGTAAAAGCACTTGTTGCACTGTAAATTGCAATTAATTTATTACATTTAATAAAAGAGTCACAGAGGCTTTTCCAGTGAATGCCACTACAATTTTTTATACTGTGCCAATTTCCTCAGAACTTTATCACAATTTTTTATTAAATTAAAAACTCAACTTCAAAGATGAAAATATAACTATTCCTGAGATCTATTATTTGGAGAGAGAGAAAAAAATATCACTTTCCCGCTTGCTCTCTATTTAATCTTGTTGCTGTGAAAAAGAATTAACGGAGACATTTAAAGGTCTCATTTGTCATTTTCTTTCCTATGGGAGACTGAAATTCATAGGCAGATTTGTGCTGTGATTGTGTGAGTGAGTATGTGTTAGATGTTGGAGGCGTTTGAAGTTTAAGTCTGGAAACTGTAAAGTAGAGGTTTATTCAATAGTCACAGCTGGAACGCAGGTTTGGACTGCTGTAGAGGATCTGTAGGGGGGTGAGGTGTGTGTGTGTGTGTGTGTGTGTGTGTGTGTGTGTGTGTGTGTGTGTGTGTGTGTGTGTGTGTGTGTGTGTGGGAGGGGCTGGGGGTCTCCAAGGTTCCCACAGCTGTCCAATCAAACCCATCCCAAACCAACCCACTCTTTTCCCAGAGTCCACAACAGTGGCCCCCAAGAGGGGCCTACGAGTCGACTTCCTGTAAGAGGGAGAGCAGAACAGGAAACAATTTGTCACACAGGATTAAACGACAGGAATAATAGAAGGAGGAGAGGAAAAATAATATGCCTTTCTCCAAATCTAGGCATGGAAGACTTGAGGGAGAAACAGCAAGAGAGAAATACAAATAAATGGAAATATAAGATAAAGGGGCCTAGACAAAATATCAAACCGAACTGTCAATCAAGTAGGATGTTGACTTTACTGACACATGGATAAGGGATAGAGTCATAAACCTCAATACAACTCATTATAAGATGGGTTAAAGAAATTGAGAGAGAGCGAGAGAGAACAGGAAGGATTATTTGGAAGGGAAAGTGGAAAGTGCTGTTAAGAATGTAGCTGTTTTTTGCTGAAAGATGTCAAATGACTGATTTGATGAGGGGAGAAAGGAAAATAAGCACATACTGTAGTGCTTGTTTACGGAAGTGACAGCAAATTCACCCAAAAAAAACCTCTGCAGTCCAGCATGTTAAAAAAAAAAACTACTCTCACCTCATGTCACGAAAATAAAAATGTGCATGCACATTAGGGGTCTTGAACTCAAATGACCAGGGGGCCAGTTGAGTAGCTGAAGTACTTTTATAAGTACAATTAAAATGATTATTTATGAATTATTTTAATAGTTTGGGGTCAGTAAGAAGTTTATACTGTTATTCAACAAGAATGCGTTAAAAATTGATCAAAAGTGACAGTAAAAGACATTTGTAATGTTACAAAAGATTTCTATTTCAAATAAATGCTGTTCTTTTGAACTTTCTATTCTACAATCAATGTTCCAACAATAACAGCAAAAACGGTTTTCAACATTGATAATAATAAGGACTGTTTTATTGAGCAGCAAATCAGCATATTAAAATGATTTCTGAAGGATCATGTGACACTGAAGACTTGGAGTAATGATGCTGAAAATTCAGCTTTGACATCACAGGAATAAATAACATTTTAAAATATATTAAAACAGAAAAAAACAAACACTTATTTTAAAGTGTAATAATATTTTACAATATTACTGTTTTTACTTGTATTTGATTAAATAAATGCAGCCTTGTGAGCAGAAGAGACTTAAAAAGAAAAATATTACTAACCCCAAACTGTACGGTCTAAAGACTAAAAAAGAAATAATTAATGCTGATTTAATATTTTTTTAATAATGTTATGTCAGAAACATGCTTTGAGCTTTAGGCAATCAGAGTTAAAGATTGAGTTTTTTTCCCATCCCGTTTCCCTCTCCTATATGACCTCTGCTTCAACTGTCCGATCATAATAAAAAGGCACAAAAAAAATTAATAAGTTGTGCCGCAAGTGAATAATCGAAAAATAAAAAAGATTAAATAAGAAATAATATTGAAAGCCAAAATAGAAAAGAGGAAAACTGACTTGCGGATTTAAGGATAACGTGGGTTTTTTTTTATGAGTGAGGGGTGCCGTATGAAACTATCTTATGGTTTAAGACTTGAACTCAAATGTTTTGTAAGTTTTCAGTGGAATAGCGTCATGGAACTGGAAACTCTGGGGTTGGTAATATTGCCAGGCAAAACGGTTAATATGAAGGCAACGTAGCACTGTGTGTGTATCCCTCCCTCTCTGAAGCTCTCTGTGGCCTAGGCTTACTAACCTAAACCATCTGTGTGGCCCACACTGACAGGAAACTGATAAAAGAAATGGAGGGATGGAGGAAAAGTAGAAAAGAAGGGAAACATATTTTATGCTCCCCTCCATAAACGTCCACTAAATCAAGGGGATTTTTTTTGAGTGTGTGTGTAAAACTTTTACAGCCAACTCCAAATGACTTAGGGTAACAGACATCAATAGCTTGATTAATCAATGGTTAACACAATAATGATAAAAGCTAATATAAGCCAGTTACCCATTGTACTCACACGTACACACTGTCTAAGTTTAAATAAATCATTGGTTCGTCACTGTTATAACTGCTATCTGCCCACTGTCATAGCTGACACAAAGAACTCAGTAGGTTCTTCATTCCTTGTTAACAATTTTATTTAATTAAAGTTTGTTTAGTGTCTAACAATCTCTATAACACACTATTCTCTAAAGTGCATTTATGTGGCGTGTTGAACTGTGGTCAATAGATGATTGATTTTAATCCAATTAAAATGCAGTGCTGCTTATTTAGTAACTAAGTAAGCTATGCCCTTGCTGGAAGGCTTGCACACACATTTGACCACATTTATATACAGTACGTTTGTATACTGCCATGTTTGAAGGCAAAATTGTCCCTAAAAGTAAAGAAAATGGGGGACATTCGGGACCGTCCTCATTTGGAAAAATAATTCATAAAAAAAAACGAAAATATACATATTTTTTTCATTCTAAAAAGCATTCTTTCAGAGTTCCTAGTAATTACATATTTGGGTTAGTTTCTGGTAATTATAATTAGCTTTATAAAAACAATAAAAGTCTATGATATGCTACCATTTAGATAGCAAATTAAATGTGTGTGTGTGTGTGTGTGTAAATGTTTTTCTATACCGGTGGGGACTTCAACCTGAATGCACACTGACTCATGGGGACTTGTGTCACTGTAGGGACCTAAATTGAGGTCCCCATGAGGAAACAAGCTTATAAATCATACAGAATGATTTTTTTTTAATGTAAAAATGCAGACACTTTTCTGTGATGGGTAGGTTTAGGGGTAGGGTCCGTGTAAGGGGATAGAATATAAATTTGTACAGTATAAAAACCATTACGTCTATGGAAAAATATAGGTCGCCAAAAAATATAGCGAACAAGACTGTGTCTCTGTGTTTGTGTGTGTGTGTGAGAGAGAGAGAATATGCACAACAAGCAAAAAAAATAATTATATAAATTTTAGTCAAAAACAACAACAAAAAACACAGATTTCAAAATAGAAACCATGAAAGTCCAGGCACTCAGCTTTTGAAGCGTGGGAAACACATTAGCACCAAGCTGTGACCTGTCAGGTTGACCCCTTAAATGGACTGACAGTACAGAACAGCTGGCCAAGAGGAGAAAGACCTGAAACCTACAGCCAAACATGAACAAAATGTTCTTTTGTTGAGATTTAAAAAAAGGCAGGGAGAGGAAATAAACCAAGAGACAGATACAAAGACAATACATTCTTTCAGATATGGTGATTGAGGACAGTATGATGGAGTGAGTCTTTCTGACCTCTGCTAAACATAATACGGTTTACTCAAGAATACTGCCAAGACATCCAGACATCCAAGACATTCCACATCCAGCCAGCTGAGCGAGACAGAAAGATGCACTCAGGATGACAGGACGACGTATATGTCTAATCTGTGATGAGAATGAGTGACCTCTACACACGATAAAAAAAAAAGACTGAGTCACCGTCTGGCTGAAGGTTTCATGCAAATCTCAACCTGCTAACACACACAATCTTGATAATACAATAAAATAACTGCTCATTTGTAGTGATTAAATGCACAGTAAAACATTTTCTGTGTGTTTGATTCTTTGCACTGACACACCCAAAATCTATGACACAGTCAGGCTGGCCCACATACCATTATCTTACAAGTGGCTGTATAACCTGCTGTGTATATATAAAAAAAAGCTTTTCTTTTCAACCTTCTCTTCATCAAAAAAATACAAAAACACTGATAATAATAAGAAATGTTTCTCGAGCAGCAAATCATCACATTAGAATGATTTCTGAAGGATCGTGTGACACTGAAGACTGGAGTAATGATGCTGAAAATTCAGCTTTGACATCACAGGAATAAATTACACTTTCAAATAAATTCAAGAAATATTTATTTGAAACTCTAATAATATTTCCCAATATACTGTTTTGCTTTATTTTTGATCAAATAAATGCAGCCATGATGAGCATAAAAGATACTTTCTATACGCTTTTATATCAAAATACCATGGTATTACAATCTGACTCCACTGTCACAATAGGTTTTTGTAAGGGTATGTGCTGTACGGACTGACAAATCTATTTGTATTCACATCTCTCTCAGTCCAGATTCGTGAAGGAGATGTAAGACAGACACACATGTGCGCGCGCACACGCACGCACGTGCGCACACACACACACACACACACACACACGCACACACACTCCTATTAAACATCATTAATGTCTGAACTCACCAGGGTGTGCCGTTGGCTGTGCGAGTGGGCTGAGACAGAGTGACCTCTAGTTGCCCCTGTAAAGGAGAAAGGACAGAACATATGGGCATCTGGCAGGTATTGATCTCACACTTCCTTTCCAGTAAACTCTGCTACATATTCTCGAAGAATGTGCAGTACATAGAGAACATTCAGTCTCTTTCACTTCCTCTGTTTCGATATGTTCAACAAACATCATATGGTTTGATTTGCTACTTCAGTTTTGGGTTGCCATGGTACCAACATGTGAGTGTTTAGTATTATACCAAAATATTCATTGTTGTCCAAACTGGTTGCACAAACCATTCACAATGTGCTAAAAAGAGCAGTGGACTCAAAATCTGTTGACGCCTACGCAGATGATTGACAGCATGGTGGGCTAGGGTTCGACGGGACATCCGGATTCTTTTGTGCATTCCTCAGGTCTGGCTTCCCCTTCTCAATCTCAAAGCTCATATTAGAGAGGGGAAGACGGAACCAGAAAAGAGCTCTGGACTGCAGCAGGGGTCCAGGAAAGGTCAACCTGAATGACCTGGAAACACTTTGATGTGGCTCAACGCAGCTAAGCAAAAGAAAATGTATCAGTTGGTCATATTGCCAGTCAGCTGGCTGTATGGTGTTTCATCAGTCTGAAATTGAATTATGAATGAATGATATATTTAGTCATGCAATTTGTTTGGTAATTGTCAAACAACTGTATAAATGCCTAGTCTAGTGCTGTGAGTCATAAGGTCATTTCCTGGACTCAAAGTCTCCCTTGGTTGGAGAAAACCTCCAGGGCTCTGCGGATATAAAGCTGAGTGGTGCAAAACTGACCACACTTCCTCTTTGCTAGATGATATACTGTAGTGTAATGTTCTGAAACTACCACACATACACACACAATTACCTAGCAGACTAAATTTGGACTTCCCATTGACCTCTATTGTTCTTAAATTAAGCTAACAAGGCAAGCATCACTATTACTACACACGCTTAAGGTTAGGTATTTGAACAAACCCTTAGGTACACTAGCATATGATATTTCAAATTATGCAGCTTTTCGAGGAGACGTATGCCATTTCCATTCCAAGTGGACTTACAACTTTCACCTGGTAAAATTGCCATCAGAAGAGTCAGAGCACCCTATAGCAACTGCAAAGACACATACTGAAACTACTCAAAACACCCTAGTGACTGCACAACAATGCACTAAATACACACTCATAACACCCTAGCAACTGCATACGAAACATGCTACAAAAAAAAAACACCCCCAAAACTGTAACTGCACACAATTTTGCTGCAAACACACACTAGCAACTGTATTGCAATGTGCTAAAATTGCCCAGAACTCCTTAAAATGTAGAGTTAAAATCTAGTTACTTTCTCTAACCAATTCCTGAACCCTGACATAAAACTTTTAAATAAAAGGCAAAGTCGCCATGAAATGAAAACCCGCGACCAGACAAAGGATAAGCGGTTTGCAGAATGGATGAAATGAAAATTCACTTGAACTATTTTCTAAATGTATGTTATTGATCTTATTGTGAACAATTCATCTAAGCATGTTTAATTTTTTTTATTTACTTTTGACCTCTTCAACAAAAGTTTATAACTGGATCTTCCGGTAAAATGAACGATGTGCAGATGTTCGTTCATTCATTCATTCATCCCGGTAAAATGTAACATTGCTAGTTTCTTTACAAACCCTTTTGCGTTTGAGCTTTTCCGATTTGGCTAACATTCTTTAGTAATTTAGTCACTAGGTCATGAGCACGCACACACACACACACACATACCTCTTTGAACAAGTGCACTTAGAAACAGCACCTCTTCTGTAGTAATTGGCAGTCGATTCAAACACACACACACACACACACAACTGCTGCAGGCAGATCATAACATTCAAAACGAGGGCCGTTCTCAGAACTGACAAAGACACAGAGTGCTTTTGTGCTCAATCCTTCTACACGAAATACCAACCCAGTTCTGCTCCACCCAGCCCCTCTGGACCAACTCTGTCCCGCAGCCAGCCCTCAGACCCTTCACACCCAGCGGACAGTAAATACACACTGCCCTTCCCTGCAAACGGATCTGATGTCAGCTTTAGTTTCCTCTCTGTGCTACTTGACATGCATGTAAACCTAAATAAAGGGAGAGTTCACTCTAAAATGAAAAATCTTTTATTATTTTGTCACCCTCAAAACTGTATGACTTACTTTCTTCTGTGGAACACAGAGAAGATATTTTAAAGAAATACTGACTTTCATTGTATTGACAAAAATCTTTTTTCAACATATATTTTGTGTTCCACAGACGAAAAAATGTCCTACAGGTTTGGAGCGACGTGAGGATGAATAAATAATGACAGAATTGAAATTGTTGGGTGAACTATCACTTTAATGGCATACGAGAGGAAGAGAAAAATACATAGAGGGAAACATAGAGGGAAACATTTCCTACTTTGAACTATGTTGCCACTGTCAACACTATTAACCTAAAACACACACAGAGCAAAGCCTCTGATACCTTCTGGGAGGTGATGGCTACAAATAAACATGTTCAAAAGTGTCCTGAAGGATTAGTTTGCTCCTACCATTTTGCCAGCAATTTTCTTGTGAATGGTGCTGTAGTCAATAACAGCAGTGTTTCACCATACAGGCAGCGAGCAGCCCGCAATTTGCAATAAATGCTGTTTATGAGCGGATTCTAGTTAAAGTTGATTTCCAGGAAAATTACAAGGAGACTCATTTATACAACCTTGTATTTCTACCCACTGAGATGACCATCTGACCCCTGTCAACCACCCACTGGCAGCCCCTGGCTGCGGTGCCATGCTCGGCTCGGCTGCGGGTTCCCGTTAACGGCTGGTATGCTTTGGCTCTGATTCTGCCCTTTGGTCCAGTGACTCGGTGAGGTTTGTCAAAATCGATCCTAGCTGTAAACTGACTCAGTCTGACACTCCACATCAGCTGTAACTCTAGCTCCCCCTCACCTTGACCTCTTTCACAGACACGCACCTCTGTGTGTGTGTGTGAGAGAGAGAGCGTGTGTCTAAGTCTGTGCCGCACTGTGGTGTCATGTTTCTGGGCTTTGGTACAGCCTCGGAGGAACGTTCCGTGCCGGACCGGGGGCTTCTGAGGGTCATGAGGCTAAACAGCCAAAACATCACTGATCTTTTCTTACACAAACACTTTAAAAGAAACGCCAAACATTTCAATGAAAAGCAAATACAATTTTTCAGTTCTTTTTTTTCTATTTCAGGTTTAAATTAGTTTCTTATACTCTGTAATAATATATAACTGTATTCTGTTTGACTATATTTAAAAATGTAATTTATTCCTGTAATGGCAAAGCTGAATTTTCAGCAGCAAGAATATATGTAGGGTAATGATGGTTTTAACCAAAAAAATGGTTAAAAGATCATCAAATGCAGCCAAATATATCACTGAAAACTATCTGAATGTAACAATCACTGCTGCAAGAAAAACATTGAAATATTATCACATTATGACAGGTTTGGAGCTAAATCCATGAAACGCCATCCAGGTCAGCGGCAAGATGCTTCACAATAGCATGCCACAATGTACAACTATGCTGCTAAGTTTAGTACACACATGCATTCACAATGATGGACTAGTAAGATGGACGGCTGAGGTATCTGCCAGAGGAAGAGTGGAAATAAAAGAGCAGGAGGATGGAAGTGAGAAAGAAGGTAAAAGTGTGTTACAGACCAAAAGGGGTGTGTATAATGAGACTTGCTTAATGTTTAATCAGGGTGCAGAGGCACCATAAATGTTGGACAGGCTCAGCATGCAAGATAGAGAGCTGTCATTAAACCTCTCTTTCTCTCACACACACACTTTCTCTTCCTCTGAGTGGTGCATGCTTTTTCTTTTAACCCGTAGTGCTTTAGGCACAAAAGCACAGACCAGAATTAAAATTCAGATGAATTTCAGAAAAGGACACACCTAAATCTTTGGTAGCATACCATCCACAGCAAGCCACTTCCCAAGACATATTTTAAGAGTTTACAATGCTTAAAGTTAGTTCTTTTTCACACAATAGAGTGATGACATCATTTTGTTGGCCAAACCGGCTCCCTGGTTCACACGACAAAAACCTAATAGAGTGTTTCCATTAGCTTTTGGATTATTGCAGAAAAAAGCTCTGTGACCATTTGGTTCAATCTTCACAAATGAACACAACATTGATAAATTTTGAAGCCTAAATATAATCACCAGATGTAAATAGCTATACATAGGCAATAAAAAGATCATGGTCAAATTACTTCAGCGTCACAATCACTAAGCTCTTTCAGTCTTTATTTGAAAAAACATTTTCCCTGCGAGTTTGAAAGAGCGCAATTATAAACACAATGAGATTGTAAAAAGTGGACTAGTGAGTAGATTAGGTTTCCTGTTCGGTGATGGCATTTAATGTCCCTGATAACCTCTGTGGTCCCATTTAGCCACTTGTTAGCAACCGCCTTTTTCAAGACAAGCAAAAGCATTTTCAAAAATCACTAGGGTGTGTTACTGATGTATTTCATGCCATAGAATAAAATGTGAAAATATATTGTGTTCAAAACCACAGACTCTATTTCAGGCATTTAACCAATAACCCATTCAAAAAACCATTGACTTCGGGACGATGGAACCGGAAGTGCTAAAAATACTAACTGGTTACTGGGTTTTGGCCAACAAAGATATGTCATCCCTGCAGCACTCTATTTCCAAGTGGCAAGTGGGGCTTGATCAGGGTTTCAGTCAGTTAGGAAGGCTGAGAAAGGTATGGCGTGTGAGCGGGACCTCTGGCAAGAGCATTCTGGGATGAGGAGCGGGATGAATCATCCGGGAAGGAGATGCTGTGATGGGTTTGTTCCGTGGCTCACTTCCGTTCCTGTGTCCCAAGAGACAGGGTTGAGTAAGGGGGCGGAAATGCCACTGCTCTGCCAACCATGGGCCTCTGGAACAGATGTTTGCCTGTGTGCGTTTTTGTTTTTTTCTTTGGTTCTACCCTATATGGACTTTTAGGGACAGACAGGACTAGCCAAACAAAACAAAATATTAATTTAAATTAAATATGAATATTAATTATTAATATTAATAAAATATTGGTTTGTTATGTGAAACACCACCACTTCAACTTTTTATATTGAATTTCAAGGTATCAGTCGAACCCGTTTTTATGTTTATACAGTTTGTCTAAGTTACTATGTGTTGCTGGCAAACTTTAAGACTAAAAAGTGAAAACATAAGGGGAAAACAAATGTAGCATTATGGAAAATCAGTTTATTTTGCCCATATTTACCCAACAAAAACAACAACAAAACATTAAACCTCAATTTTAACCTGCATAGCGCAAGATTTTGGCTCGTTGTAGAGGGTGTGGGGGAAATACCATCTCAAAGCTCTGTGGTTCTACAGTTATACATTAACAGCACCAGGTCTGTGCCAGAAACTCCTGCCAGTTTGTGTTTCTTTCCCAGGATGCCCTGCTCCTCACCTCAACAGCTGCAGTGGGCGGGTGTCCTCGTGTCATAACATCTTCAAGGCACAGCGTGAATGTCAAAAACAAAAAGAATGAAAGTTTTGCGTCTCCTAAGAGAAACACAGAAGAGTGAAGCAAGGGTAGTTCATCACTCTAAAATAGGAAAGAGGGGGAAGCGCAGAACATGCAGGACAAACAGAGGCGCTCTTTCAGTTCGTCCGCTGTCTGTTTGGCCAGCTTGATTAGGGGACGGCTGCTGACGTCAGAGTCTCACACATGGAGGAGCAGATCCCTGAACCAGCACTACACCTCCCAACAGACTAAAATGGCCTTAAAGAGAAAGTTTGTCACCTTAATGTTATCCCAAACCTGCTTTCTTCTGTGGAAGAACTTCATTGTGGAACAGACTTTCATTGTATGGACAAAAAACAGTTGAAAGTTGAAACATTTCTCAAAATTTGTTCTTTTATGTTCCACAGAAGAAAGAAAGTCATTTGACGTTTTTGTTGTCATTTTTGGTTAAACTATTACCCTTTAATTTAGCATTTTAAGTTATGAGCCAACGTATTAACTTTACATTCTGTAGGATGAAATGTAGGGTTTGTTTCAGCATAAATATAGTACAGAAGTACATTTGAGTTAAAGGTGGATCTGTCGAGATGATACATTCAGCTGCGGTCTCCTGTGGCACAAAAAAGGACCGTTAACAGTCACTGCAGAGAGGAAGTATCCAAACACACACGTCTGTGGGGTCTGACCACCTGCTTGAGTGTGTGGCCTACAGAGGGTTGTGTGCAATGGAGGAGGTCTTTGTGTAAACAACGTCAATGGATGTTTCCGGAGCGGGCTTTCCTAGACTTCAGCCAAACCAGTCCTCTCCGTACCATCCATGTCTTCCAAGCATGCATTTCCTCTTTGGCAATAATAGTTGACAGTGAAAGCCCAACTTCCTTAAGTACCTGGTTTTAAGTCTGACTGGGGGGAAAGCTTGCTAATATTTCATCAAATTGAGCAAAAAACATCCAAAATGGGTAATGAAACTTCCTTTATCAATTCTTTAAAGGACATGAAACTTATATAAATTAAGCTAAACTGATTTAGCCTGCAAAATCCAGTTAGCTGTTAGCTATGTATTGGAATATGGTGGCAAGCTAATCTAAAGGTGTGGTCACATTAGTGAAATTTAGTGGGCAAAAAGGTCCATTGTGTATCGTCAATAGTATAGAGATGTATGAAACACAGCTTACACAGAGGTCACTTTCAATGGGGAATTCGCATGACCAACTTGAACTCTATGCGAAATCTGCATGGGGAAATTCCCGTTTGTGTGGATTCTTATTGAAATGACTGAATTTCTCACACGGAAATTTTCCCAACAACATAAAAGCCAGTCATTAGCTGGTCCAAACTGATCATGGGCTGGTAGGCCATTTTGGACTCGCACCAGTTTAAGATGGTCAACCTGGTTTTTTGGTGGCACATGGTGGTCAAGCAGTGATTGTCTAGCTTGAACAAGTTTAGTAATCAGATTAGTCCAGTTATAAACCAGCTACCATGTGGCAAAACACTATTAGTTTAGCTTGATTTTCCAACATGTTATAAAGTCCTTAAAGAATCAGTTTTGTTAGTCCAAACCCCCAAAGGGCAGAGTGCTAATTATAAACATCAGAAAAATAGATGTCATCCACCAAGATCTGAGCAGGAACCATACCAGTTTCTCCTAGGAAGGATAACTGAAGGTTGTTGCTCAGTATATTGATCCTGCCTGGCATGAAGAGGAAGCCAGGACTTGCAGATGCACTCTAGATATCAATATCTTTCAGCAATAATCAATAATGGCAATGTGGCAACAATGAAAATAGCAAGAGTGAATTGTCGTGCTGCAACAGCACGAAAAGGCTGATAAATCATAATAAATGTTCAGGCTCTGTGTGCCCTTAAACAATGACTCATCAAATGGTATTACAATAGTCATTCAAACAGTTAGAGCTGATGATCAAGTCTTTAAAGCTGATTCATTACTGTATATGTGATACCCAGAGATGTGGCAGCCACTCAGTTGACTATGTAACATTATCTAATGTTTTACATCACACACCGGAGTCTGGCTGTGTTCAATGGATCAAATTCATCAAATTTAATCATGCAATCAAATTCAAAATGAGTTGAGTCAAAAAATCCAGAAATCACACAATCAGATGTCTAAATTTGGTCTTTATCTTATCTCCCATCACACTTTAAAAAGTTTTTTGTTTCCTTTGGCCATGCCTTTTCTCTTTTTTTCCCTTTGGCCATGTCTTTTCTATAGACACCAAGGACTGCCATTGGTGCCTCCTTAGAAAAAAAAAATAGGTGCATGATGACCCTGGGGGAAAGGGGGGATGCACTGACCTCCTATATTCTACCCCCATTACCCTGACACATGCACACACACGCAGAAATCTTTCACAGAGCCATAAATGGGTTAATGGCATAAGACTTCACCAAGGAAATATGGAGATTATTGATTTTAGGGTGATTAGTCCATAGAGGATGGATGGAGTGGGGATAAAAGGAGTAGGGAGAGATACGAGGTCAGTCCATAAGAGATTGGTGCAAATGGTCCCTTAGGCTGTTTCTAATTGATTGGCCCACTGTATTGTGTGTAACATGGTTTTCACAATATGGGCCTGATTAGAAATGTAAAATGTTAGTCTCATAAAGTGTGTGTATGTCCAGACATGTCAAGAGATCTCTTCATATTGCCTAGAGGAGGACTGATATTAACTGTAGACAGTACACTTGAGGTAAGTCAGCATTACATGTGGGTGTTGGGTCATAATGCAGTGTGGAATACTTTCGGTTGTAGGCAATTATCCATCCCAAGTACATAGGGTTTATTGGAAATATTTCTGCTTTAATTCAGAACATCAGCCTTTGTGTGAGTGTAAAAAAGTCTCCCTGGCTGTTGAAAAACTAATTTAGTGTACAAGCGGGGATCAATACCAGAGATTTTACTGACAGAGGAGCCATTATTAAATATTTGATCATGCGGATGTGTTCAGTTGCACAGAGGCGTAAAATAGATGGGGAACCGGAGTGCTGGCTCAGCTGAATGCCCTTCACTGTTCATTATATTTCACAGGAACCCTTCATCTCTGTTCTTCACAATGATTTGTACCTTTTTAACACACATGGGCTAATCATGAAACACCTCAACAAAAAGTTCTTGTGTGTAAGAATAGTGAAAATAATACATCGGAAGTACAGTTGTCTGTAAGACAGTTTCGTTTCATGTAATCGGGTTGCTAGGATTAAAAAGCCCTCAAAACCACATACATAGTGAACGTATGAAAGTCACACAAATTATATATTGGGAAGCATTGGTATCTTGCTAGATAAAGCTTGAGCGCTTCACTTTAATTCTCAAAATATGACCAGTAAAACTAGTTTTGCAAGAATAGCCTAGGTGTTTTCATCACACTCCATTTCCACCACTTAAAACTGAGAAATGAATACATTTGTCCTATCAGTGCTGCTTCAAAAATATTTCAACATTTTGTCTATATAATAAATAATTCTCACATATATGAATCCATATAAAAAGATCCATGATCTTTCCAGCATCATACGCATGTAGGCCTATAGAATGTTTGAGAATGCCTGATTATGGCAATAAATCATGACAATAATCATTTTAATGTTAATAGTACTTTTTTCTAACATCCTTTCCAATTTCACTAGTAACTATTCATTAAATTTTAGTACTTATTCTTTAGATACTGCCATTTATACAAATAGTGACTGACTAGTAGCCATTCAACCGTTGGCACTTATTCTTTATATAAGCACTTGTTTATTTTACTACTAGTCATTAGTTTTACTAGTACTTATTAAAAAGACACTAATACTTAATCATTACATATGTAACGTAAAAAAAAAAGCAATTGTGACTTGCGATACAATATAACTAATGACATTTAGGATACTAGGGTCTCAGAAATAGGTAGGCTAGTGTCTATAAATAAGTAGCCCGTAAAGAAGGACTAAATACTAACTATTGTTAGAGTTTCTATACCTAACAAAGTAGGCCTACTAGTACCAAATACAAAGTTATTAGTAAACTGGAATGGATACCAGCAGCAACTAGCAATATAGTTGAAAGTTGTGAATTGAGATCTGAACTACACATCCACATAGAATTCAATGACGAAAAACAGAAATAACTTACTCAATTTATTTCGAAAAAATGAAAGTTACTCGTTACTTTTGTGGTAATGACTAGTGGAATAGTATTAAATTGGCTACTAGACAATTTGAAAAGGATAAATACACTTTTTGGACAAAAAGTAAGCGTAACATCAATACAGATATTAGTTAACTTAAACTAAAGGAATGAACCATGGTGGATGTCATACTGTGATGGCTAAAATTGGTGTCTAGGTAGTCAGCTTACTAGGTTTTGTGACACAGCTTTAGTTTTGTCTACATACCCGTCCCGTGTGTGTGTGTTCTTCCTGATTGCGTAACTCGAAAGACTCTTCCTCCTCTTTCTCTCCATGATCCCGAGCCAGCAAACTGAAGCCTTGTCTGCAGCACACAAGCCACCAAAGTCCCTGCAAAGGCATTCAAATCACGGCGTGTCGTCCAGTCTCTATCCGTAAATGTCCAGTGATGTCCACCGTCCCTGTGCTGTCGTGCAGATGGGACAGATGGAGGACGTCTAGTCACATGAAACGGGCTGATACAAGAGAGTAAACTCCTCTATTTCGTCTGGGACAACTCAGAAAGGCCGCGTTTTATCAAAAGGGATATATCCAAATACGTGTCCAACTTAAGAAAAACACTGATAAAAGACTTTGATCCCACGGGTACTTTCAAAAGGAGAGTAGATAACACATCGCGTCTAATCGGCTTCTATCGCGTCTCTGATTCTGCGGGACATGAGCATGCAGACTCTTTCAGCAGCGTGAGTGAAGGGGCGGGGCGAGTCACCCCATGCGTTCGCAATCGCAAGATGATTGGCTCATCATCCACACGCCCAGAAAACGCCCCGCCCCCTGTCTGGCTCGCTGGCATTTCAGGAAATGGAAGCATTTCAGTGATGGGATCAGAAATATTTAACTCTCATTGTAAAGCAAGCAACACATGTCACAAGGAAATTGTACCTTTTTACTAACTTCACTCTGTGCTCGGTTTACCTTGTAATTATTAAAGGGTTATTTTCTAGGTTTTACCCCAATCTGTCCTTGTCCAAACTATGATGTAATCACAGAAGGTTTATCTACTTTGAATGGCAAAGTGAAATTCGGCTTCTGTTATTTGGATAGTGCTGTGCTGGGACGTGGAGGTGGAGACTGCTGCATTAACAAGTAAGTGTGAAGTTCTGGGTAAAGGGGTGAATGAGCACTCTGTGTTTTTGTGTGTGTGTGTGTGTGTGTGTGTGTGTGTGTTTGGGGGGGTAATGTAGTCTTCTGAAACGCATTATGTGCCTGAATGAAAAGCAGATGGACTCCTTTATTCCAGGAAACTCCTGTCACAAGAGGCTCTGAAGAGAGGGAGACAGACAGAGAAAGAAGGGAGAGGGTAAGAGCACCAGAAAGACTTTTTTGTGAGACTTCCCAAAGGTCTGATGAGCCCCCTTCCCCTTTATTGTCTGTTTTCTACATTTTTCCTGTCATTCATTACATTTGTATGGCTTGCAAAGTAAATGACTCCATGTGGCAGCAAACAAACATCACTAATTTTCATTTAGTTTTATTGTACCCATCTTCCAGGAAATAACTGGTCAGATAGCATTACTCAAATGAATCAATCTGAAAACTGAATTCAAATAGCTGAAATATTATGAATAAAAGTGACCATAAGTTGTTCAGAAAAAAACTTGAATAATAATAATAATATGTAATACTTCATTGTGATTGGTCATAAGCAGAACTCTGTGGCCAAATGACAGCATTATTTATGTTTAATTTGCATGATTTAAAATAAAAGTGTGATGATGTTGTGTTATAGTTTATAGTTTATGAGTTGTGTATTGGTTCATAAAAAGGTTCCTATACCCTGCTAAACTACACTGATTTGCTGGTCTCTTAGCTGATTTAAGGTGGTCTCCCAGTGGGCGGTCTCCAAGCCATAACCGCTTAAAGGTGAGCAAAACCCCTCCAAAACCAGCAAACCCATTGGTCAAACAAATAGATAGTCCTGCCCCAAATTCATAATGGTTGTACCATTGTTGCTGTGTGTTCATTGGGAATTAGGGATGCACGATATATATCAGTCACCATATCAGTATCGGCCGATATGTCCATTTTTAATCTTATCGTTATCGGCCCGATAAGAAAATTTGGCTGATATATTAAAGCTGATAAATAATGGATTATTTCCTTCAGCTGAGATGCTTCAGATGTGCACTGTTCGCCATGATGCTTTTGAATAGCTTGAATATGATTGGAATACCTTCAAAAAAGGAAAATACGGTTAACTGCATCAAGTGCAGTCATATAGACTGTCGGCTACATAAAATTGTACTGAGAACATTATAATTGTGTGCTTGGGACATGGCTTTTAATGGTGAGACTTCTGTTTTTGTAATCAGACTCTCAAAAAGTATATACAAATTTGGATTTATATTTATCGGCCAATATATCGGTTATCGACTTTCAAAGAATTATCGGTTATCGGTATTGGCCAGTATGTTCATATCGGTGCAACCCTAATTGCTCAAAAAACGTTTGGGGAAATCAACCTAAACTACTTTTCAAATGTTTGGGGTCTCTTCTGCTCACCCAGGCTGCATTTATTTCTTAAAAGATACAGTAAAAACAGTAATGCTATGAAATATTATTACAATTGAAAATATCTGTTTTCTATTTTAATGTATTTTAAAATGTACTTTATTCCTGTGATGCAAAGCTGAATTTTCAGCATCATTACTCCAGTCTTCAGTGTCACATGATCCCTCAGAAATCTTTATAATATGCTGATTTGCAGCTCAAGAAACATTTATTATTATTATCAGTGTTGAAAACAGTTGTGCTAATTAATATTTTTCATTATTCTTTGATGAATTAAAAAGTACAAAAGAACAGCATTAATTTGAAATAGCCTTTTTTTGTGATCTTTAGATCAATTTAATGTATCTTTGCTGAATGAAATTAATTTATATCCATAAAAATCCCTACTCCTAAACTTTAAAACGGTAGAGTATGAATGGCTTTTGTCTAACTGTATTAACATTGATGTATTAAATTGCTTAATTTATCCATCCAGTTGGCAAACTTTTTGATCATTTCCTCAATGTGCTCATAATTTTTACCAATTGTGTCTTAAAGCTTAATTTTTCCATCACACACATTGTCCGTCTTTCCACTCTATTCTTTCTTTTCCTGAAGTCTCACACAGAACCCGGCTCACTCACTCACTCATCTGCACCCATAAATCACGCTTTCAAAAAGCACACCAAACAAACTTTTGCTCGAGCACAAGCAAGAATGACACATGATATTTTTCAGGGCCCCTCTGTGCTCCCTTCGCTCTCACTCTCTCTCTCTATGCCTTCATTTCCTCTCGTTTGCTCTGCTCTGCTCTCTGCTGACTCTCTCCACACATTCATCATTCCACAAGCTGGCCCTGGTGTTTGTCTTTAAGTCTGCCTGTGGCTTTATCAAACACACACGTACACACTCGCGCAGGGGTATAGCGAGCTGTCCAGTGAAAACCCCCTTCTTGGCATCTCTCTCTTTCAGTCTCTCCCTCGTCCTTTCTATCTCTCTAACAGATCACCGTATCATTTTCCTCACGGCTTATAATTTATAATTCTGCTTTACTTTCTTCTCATCTTCCTTGTCATGCCGCGTCAGACCTGCCTCCCACCTGACCTGCTCCTGGAACAGATGGTTTATTTTTAGAGCGCTCTCTCTCTTTCTCCCTCTTTTTCACTCTCTCTGCCCACGCTAAGAAGAAAAATGGAGTCTTGTGTCTATATATATGGCTTGTGAGAGAGTGAGGTTTTTTTTAAAGAAAAAACAGACTGTCATTATCACACCCATCTTTTGTCTCTGAAGACAAGGGAGTGAGAGGAATTTGATGTTTTCAGTTTTCTGACTTATTTTCACAAAACAAACCCTAAATCTTCTTTTTGGGGCCCTTCTTTCGGGTTTTTGGTCTTGATGCCACAGTCCATTGTGCCTCCACATCCTCTTATCAATGTTTTTTACTAATTATTTTTGTGCTATATTGAGTTGGTCTCACTCTGTAGTAACAGTAATACTGACATTACTGCGTACGATTTAGCACTCCTAAACTTAAAACAAATAAATAATAATTGTCACACCTTGTGAAAAAATCATTTCTGACCAGGAGTGTAACTTTTTTGAATGAAATTATATAATGCTAATTTCCCTGAAGTAGTAACAATAAAATGTTAATTCCTTAATTTCACCATCATTTGTATAAGCAAACAGACTTTTGTGGATGACCACTTAGACTCAAATCAAATCAAGTTTGTTAAGATTTATATCTTTAATAAAAAGTCACCAGGTTTTTAATCATTCAAATAAAGAAAACCATTTGTATATGTCAAATAAGCAAATAAGAGTTCTAAATTATATGAAAATGTAACATTTTCTTTATTTTTTAGATGCTTTACAATGTACAGAAGAGTAAAGAAACATGTTCAGAAAAAAACTTTAATAATAATAATAATAACAGGCATGGCTTTATGTAATACTTCATTGTGATTGGTCATAAGCAGAATTCTGTAGCTAAATGACAGCATTATTTATGTTTAATTTGCATGATTTAAAATAAAAGCGTGATGATGTTGTGTTTGGGAATGTGAGTCATGGTCTTTTGCCTGTGCTTCACTTTTTCCCTCTCTCTTCATGCCTTGCATTCAGGACCCAACTTGGTGTGATTGACATTTCCTGTCTGCGAGGTCGTTTAAGGCCTTAAGGTGTTGATGCTACTTGAGAAATGGGATGGAGTCAAGCCCTGAGTCAGCCTGACATTAGACAGACACCACACTCATAATATTCATCCTGTAAAGCTCTTCCACCTTGAACTGCTTGTTCATGAATACACCTTTTCTCTTGTTTTGTTAGCACGCAGTCTTATTCTCCAGACTTGTTTCTATCTTTGTTTATCCTAATGGCTTGTCTGAAATGTGTCTGAATAGCTCAGAAGCTGTACATGTCAGAGGTCATCTCAGGCCTTGTAAATCTATGTCTAAGACATTGCAAATGACCACCACACAAACATTTACTATGTGTCATGGTAGATGTGCTTGGAAGATAGTAATGCCTTTACTATGAAGTTCTGTTTTTGGCACAGGGGCCACATTGGGCTTTAAATACAATATCTGTGTTTGGTTTCTTAAAGGTTATCACTGAGAAGGTTTGCTCACATAAATGGCACCAAACAGAGCAAGCTGCCTCAAAGTAAAAAGTAATAAAAAGTAATTGTTAGATATATAGTTGCATTATGAGATATAAAGTCACATTGTGAGATAATACAGTTACATTGTCTGATAAAAAGTTACATTAAAAAATAAAAAATAAATCTCTCAGATATAAAGTCGCAATTGGATAAATGAGTCACAATTGCAAGATAAAAATTCACATTGTAAGACATTGTCAGATATGAAGTCACATTATGATATAAAGTCACATTTTGATAGTCACATTGTGAGATATAAAGTCAAAGTCTCATATATAATGTTGCAACTAAGAGGAATGAATCACAATTGCGAGATAAAAAGTCACATTGTGAGATATAAAGTCTGAAAAATTTTGAGAAATGGAAGTCAGAATTCTGAGATACAACGAGTCACAATAACCTATTATTTTACTTTGAGGTGGAAGGAGAGAGCACATGTTCATGGCTGCTAGATTGGGTGGTTTGGATTTCGAAATCTGGCAATACTGAGCTTGTTAAAATGCGCATGAAGG